AGAGAGAGACCAGAGAGACACCAGAGAGACACAAGAGAGAACCAGAGAGAGAGACCAGGGAGAGAGCCCAGAGAGAGACCAGAGAGAGACCAGAGAGAGACCAGAGATAGAGACCAGAGAAAGACCAGAGAGAGGACCAGAGAGAGAGACCAGAGAGAGTCCAGGAGAGAGGACCCAGAGAGAGACCGAGAAAGAGACCAGAGCGAGACAGGAGAGAGACCAGAGAGAGACCACTGTGTCTGTTTGATTTCTGTATCCGTGTCGAAGATCCGACAACTTGGTAAAAAGTCCTTTGACGAGGCTAAAACATAGAATAGAATTGTGTGATGAAAACAGTTAAACATCTATTTATAAAACTTAAACTGCTGAAACCTAAAGTTTTTGTTTCGAGACTGAAATGTGTTTGTCGCGATAGAAAAAGTGTGAGAAAATGTGTTTATTGTGGATAAATCCGACGTCATCTCCCCAGGTCATTGTGCTGACGTGAACCACCAGTCCCTGTGAGTCACTATTGACCCTTATTGGGCTCAGACAGAAATATGTATAAGATGTTTACATGACTTTTGAATAGAGACCACAGCTTTATGTCTCGCACCAAATGTTAATGCTCTAAGAACCACGGGGAACTCCTGATGAGCACAGGGACTTGCCTCCTGCGTGACCTGAGGAGCACAGGGACTGGCCTCCTGCTGGGACTCTGAGGAGCACAGGGACTGGCCCTCCTGCTGGACTCTGAGGAGATCACAGGGGACTGGCCTCCTGCTAAGACTGAGGAGCACAGGACTGGCCCTCCTGCGGGACTGGAGGATCACGATGGGACTGGCCTCCTGCTAAGCCTGAGGAGTAAAAACACAGGGAACTGGCCTCCTGCTAAGACTCTGAGGAGCACAGGGACTGGCCTCCGGCTGGGAACGCTGAGGAGCACAGGGACTGGCCTCCTGCTAAGACTGAGGAGCACAGGGACTGGCCTCCTGCTGGGACTCTGATGAGCACAGGGACTGCCTCCTGCTGGGGACCTGAGGAGCACAGGGACTGGTCTCCTGCTGGGATGGAGGAGGCACAGGGACTGTCTCCTGCTGGGACCTGAGGAGCACAGGGACTGGCCGCCTGCTAAGACTCTGAGGAGCCAGGGATGGACTCCTGCTGGGACTCTGAAGGAGCACAGGGACTGGGCCCTCCTGCTGGGACTGAGGAGCACAGGGACAGGCCTCCTGCTGGACTCTGAGAGCACAGGGACTGGCCTCCTGCTGGGACTGGAGTAAAAAAAGGAAAAAAAAGACAAAAAGACACAGGACGGTCTCCTGCTGGACGAGGAGCACAGGACTGGTCTCCTGCTGGGACCTGAGGAGCACAGGGACTGGCCTCCTCTGGTACTGAGGAGCACAGGACTGCCTCCTGCTGGGACTCTGAGAGCACAGGACTGGCCTCCTGCTGGACTCGAGAGCACAGGGACGGGCCTCCTGCTGGGCTCTGAGGACACCAGGGACTGGTCTACCCCTGCTGGTCCCCAGAGTCAGGACTAAACAAGGGGAGGCAGGTGGGTTTCAGATTTAGCAGCTAAAAACAGTCCTTCCAGAAAACGTGAGTCTGGCAATATTCAAATCCAGGTTAAAAAACAGAGTTTAATCCTACTTTCTGAGTTAAAGCCTGTCTTGTGAGATTGCCGGTGTGTGACTGTGCTATAACCAAATAACCTTGCCTAATGCTAAAGGGTTATGAACAAATGACATCAGTGACTTTTTCCGCGTGGCCTCGCACCAGCATTTTTTTGTGTTACAATTTGAGTAAACTTCTGAACGTCAAACGACAGAATAAAAAATAACATATGTACATGTAGAAATACGGATACAGGTGAAAAAATAAAAGAATACAGATTACATACAGGGTGAACAAACCATGAACAAACCATAGAACAGAACCATGATCAGAACCATGAACACGCTCAGAGCAGAGGATCATTTCTGTGTCGTCCTAGACAACAAACAAAGTTCATCAACCTGGTCTCTCCCCTGTTCTCGTCTCCCCGATCTCTCCCTGGTCCTCTCCCCTGTCTCTGTCACTGGTCTCTCACTGGTCTCCCCCTGGTTCTCTCCCCTGGTCTATACCATTCAAACTCCGAACGGGGGAAAAACAAAAAGATGCAACTGTGATTTCCGTGGAACACAAAAAGGCGTCATTTGCCGAGAAGCATTCACGTCCCCACAACACAAACTGCTTTCTTCTTCTACAAGTACCTTTTTCCTCAGGAACGTGACGTGCAGCAATCAGAGGAAGGGCAGTCACGGCCAGGACACCGGAGCAACGCCGTCCAGGTGGTGATGGCACTGCTTTGTGGACCAGATGAGTGAACTATGTGTTTTTAGGAACGACACAGAAAATGACTCCTCTGCTCTGAGCGTGTTCATGTTCTGTTTCATGGTTCTGTTCATATGGTTCTTTCATGTTCTGTTCACCTGTATGTAATCTGTATTCTTGTTATTTTTTTACACCTGTAATCCGTATCTACATGTACATATTAATTTTTATCTGCGTTTGATGGTTCAGAAGTTACTCAAATTGTAACACCAAAATGCTGGTGCAGGCCACGCGAAAAGTCACTGATGTCATATGTTCATAACCCTTTAGCATTAGCAAGGTTATGGGTATAGCACACCCCGGGTCCACCACGGCAACTCACAAGAACTAGGCCTTTAAAATCAGAAAGTCAGGATTAAATCTGTTTTTAAACCTGGATTTGAATATTGCCCGTCTCACGTTTTCAGGAAGGACTGTTTTTGATAGCTGCATAAATCTGAAACACTGCCTATCCCCATGTTTATTCCACTCTGGGACCAGCAGGAGACCAGACCCCATGTGCTCCTCAGAGTCCCCAGCAGAGGCCAGTCCCCTGGTGCTCCTCAGAAGTCCCAGCAGGAGGCCAGTCCCTGTGCTCCTCATAGTCCCATCAGGAGGCCAGGTCCCTGGTGCGTCCACGGTCCCCGAGCAGAGGCCATCCCCTGTGCACCTCAATCCCAGCAGGAGACCAGTCCCCAGTGCTCCTCAGTCCCAGCAGGAGACCAGAATCCCTGTGCTCTCAGTCCCAGCAGGAGCCAGTCCTGTGCCCTCACGTCCCCAGCAGGAGGCCAGTCCCTGTGGCTCCTCAGTCCCCCACAGGAAGCCCATCCCTGGTGCTCCTCAAGAGTCCCAGCAGAGGCCATCCCTGTGCTCCTCAAGTCTTAGCAGAGGCCTGTCCCTGTGCTCCTCAAGTCCCAGCAGATGACCAGGCCCTGTGCTCCTCAGTCCAGCAGGAGACCATCCCTGTCTTCCTCAGATCCTACCCACAGGAGGGCCAGTCCCTGTGCTCAACAGAGTCCAAGCAGGAGGCCAGTCCGCTGTTGCTCCTCAGTCTGAGCAGGAGAGGCCATCCCGTGCTCCTCAGAGTCCCAGCATGAGTCCAGTCCCTGTGCTCCTCAGAGTCTTAGCAGAGGCCAGTCCCTGTGCTCCTCAGAGTCTTAGCAAAGGAGGCCATCCCTGTGCCCTATGTCCCAAGCAGGGAGTCCCAGTCCCTGTGCTCCTCAGTCTAGCATGAGGCCAGTACCCCTGTGCTCCTCAAGTCCCAGCATGAGGCCATTCCCTGTGCCTCCTCAGAGTCCCGCAGGAGGCCAGTCCCTGTGCTCCTAGAGTCGACAGCAGGAGGGCCAGTCCCAGTGCTCCTCAGAGTATTCCACGTGGTTCCTTTATAGCAGTAACATTTGGTGCGAGACTTAAAGCATGGCTGTGTCCTCTATTTTCAAAGCTCATGTAAAAAACTAATACTTATTTTCTGTCTGAGCCCAAAGGTCAAATAGTGACTCACAGGGACTGTTGGATCACGTCAAGCACATGACCTGGGGAGATGACTCGGATTTATCCACAATAAACACATTTCCTCACAACTTTTTCTATCGCGGACCAAACAACATTTTCAGCTCGAAACAAAACGTAGGTTCAGCAGCTTAAGTTTCTACTAAAATAATGGTTTAACTGTTTTTCATCACAACAAGTCTATTCTAGTTTTTTTAGCCTCGTCAAAGACTTTACCCAAGTTGACGATTCGTCGACACGGGATCAGAAAATCAAACAGGACACAGTGGTCTCTCGCTGTCTCTCTCTGGTCTCTCTCTGGTCTCTTTCTGGTCTCTCTCTGGTTCTCTCTCTGGTCTTCTCTGGTCTCTCCTCTGGTCTCTCTCTGGTCTCTTCCTCTCTCTGGTCTCTCTCTCTGGTCCTCGTCTCGGTCTCATCTCTGGTCTCTCTCTGGTCTCTCTCCCTAGTCCTACATCTCACTGGTCTCTCACTCGGTGTCTCTCTGTGTCTCTCTGGGCTCTCTCTCGGTCCGCACTGGCTCTCTCTGGTCTCTCACTGGTCTCCTCGGGGCCTCTCTCTCTGATGACAACCCTGGTGTATCTCTGGTCTCATCTCTCAGGCCTCTCTCTGGTCTCTCTCTGGTCTCTCTGGCCTCTCTCCTCTGGTCTCCTCTGGTCTCCTCTCTGCCTCTCTCTGGTCCTCTCTCGCCTCTCTCTCTGGCCTCTCTCTGGTCTCTCGTCTGGTCTCTGGCTCTGGTCTCTCTCATCTGGTCTCACTCCTGGTCTCTCTCTGGTCCTCCTCTCTGGTCTCTCTCTGGCCTCTCTCTCTGCCTCTCCTCTGGCCTCTCTCTCTCTGCCTCTCTCTGGTCTCTCTCTGGTCTCTCTCTGGTCTCTCTCTGTCTCTCTCTCTGGGCTCCTCTCTGGTCTCTCTGGTCTCTCTCTTTTGTTAATATCTGAAAAAGTGCTAAAGGTGGAAGTGTGAAAAGTAATAGCAATAATGAGACGGTTTGAAGCCGGTCGTAACGATGTATAATTTGTTGAATTTGGTGAAAGCGTTGAAGAGTTGAAAAGTGCCAAAATCTGGCGGAAGTGGAAGAAGAAGAAGAAGAAGAAGAACTAGAAATGGTACAATGGCTGAAGCCATTGTGAGTGGCTGCATAGATGTTGGAAGGGTTAGGGATGAAGAAGGAAGAGGAAGGGGAAGAAGGAAGAAGAAAGAAAAGGGTAGAAGAGGGAAGAGGAGGAGGAAGAAGAAGAAGGGGAAGAAGAGGAGAAGATGAGGAAAATGAGGAAGAAGGGGAAGAAGAGGAAGAAGGGGAAGAAGAGGAAGAAAGGAGGAAGGGGAAGAAGGGGAAGAAGAGGAAGAAGAGGAGGAAGGGGAAGAAGGGGAAGAAGAGGAAGAAGAGGAGGAAGGGGAAGAAGGGGAAGAAGAGGAAGAAGAGGTGGAAGGGGAAGAAGGGGAGGAAGAAGAGGAAGAAGAGGAAGAAGGGGAAGAAGAGGAAGAAGGGGAGGAAGAAGAGGAAGAAGAGGAAGAAGGGGAAGAAGAGGAAGAAGATGAGGAAGGGGAAGAAGAGGAGGGAGGGGAAGAAGTGAAGAAGATGAAGTAAGAAGAATGTGTTGTAAGGTGTTGAATTTGTTGTAAAGTGCTAAATGTGTTGTAAGGTGTTGAATTTGTTGTAAAGTGCTAAATGTGTTGTAAAGTGTTGAATGTGTTGTAAAGTGCTGAATGTGTTGTAAGGTGTTGAATTTGTTGTAAAGTGCTAAATGTGTTGTAAGGTGCTGTAAGTGTTGTAAGATGTTGTAATGTATTGTTTCTGTGGTATGAATTGTTAGTGTGGTAATGTGTTGTATGGGGAGTAATCTGTTGTACTGGTCCAATGTAAGTCAATGGGAAAAAGTGCTTGAACTTTTGTTAATATCTGAAAAAGTGCTAAAGGTGGAAGTGTGAAAAGTAATAGCAATAATGAGACGGTGAAGCCGGTCGTAGCGATGTATAATTTGTTGAATTTGGTGAAAGCGTTGAAGAGTTGAAAAGTGCCAAAATCTGGCGGAAGTGGAAGAAGAAGAACTAGAAATGGTACAATGGCTGAAGCCATTGTGAGTGGCTGCATAGATGTTGGAAGGGTTAGGGATGAAGAAGGAAGAGGAAGGGGAAGAAGAAGGAAGAAGAAGAAAGAAAAGGGAAGAAGAGGAAAGAAGAAGAAGGAAGAGGAGAAGGAAGAAGAAGAAGGGGAAGAAAAAGAAGAAGAGGAAGAAGGGGAAGAAGGGGAAGAAGAGGAAAAAGGGGAAGAAGAGGAAGAAGAGGAAGAAGGGGAAGAAGAGGAAGAAGAGGAAGAAGGGGAAGAAGAGGAAGAAGGTGAAGAACAGGAAGAACAGGAAGAAGGGGAAGAAGAGGAAGAAGGGGACGAAGAGGAAAAAGGGGAAGAAGAGGAAGAAGAGGAAGAAGGGGAAGAAGAGGAAGAAGGGGAAGAACAGGAAGAAGAGGAAGAAGGGGAAGAAGAGGAAGAAGGGGAAGAAGGGGAAGAAGAGGAAGAAGAAGTAAGAAGAATGTGTCATAAGGGACTGAAAGTGTCGTAAAGTGCTGAATGTGTTGTAAGGTGTTGAATGTGTTGTAAAGTGCTAAATGTGTTGTAAAGTGCTAAATACGTTGTAAAGTGCTAAATATGTTGAATCTGTTGTAAAGTGCTTAATGTGTTGTAAGGTGCTGTAAGTGTTGTAAAGTGCTGACTTTGTTGTAAGGTGTTGAATGTGTTGTAAAGTGCTAAATGTGTTGTAAGGTGTTCAATTTGTTGTAAAGTGCTAAATGTGGTGTAAGGTGTTGAATTTGTTGTAAAGTGATAAATGTGTTGTAAAGTGCTAAATGTGTTGTAAGGTGTTGAATGTGTTGTAAAGTGCTAAATGTGTTGTAAGGTGTTGAATTTGTTGTAAAGTGCTAAATGTGTTGTAAGGTGCTGTAAGTGTTGTAAGGTGTTGAATGTGTTGTAAAGTGCTAAATGTGTTGTAAGGTGCTGTAAGTGTTTTAAGATGCTGTAATGTATTGTATCTGTGGTAATGAATTGTTAGTGTGGTAATGTGTTGTATGGGGAGTAATCTGTTGTACTGGTCCAATGTAAGTCTAGGGAAAAAGTGCTTGAACTTTTGTTAATATCTGAAAAAGTGCTAAAGGTGGAAGTGTGAAAAGTAATAGCAATAATGAGACGGTGAAGCCGTTCGTAACGATGTATAATTTGTTGAATTTGGTGAAAGCGTTGAAGAGTTGAAAAGTGCCAAAATCTGGCGGAAGTGGAAGAAGAAGAAGAAGAATGGTACAATGGCTGAAGCCATTGTGAGTGGCTGCATAGATGTTGGAGGGTTAGGGATGAAGAAGGAAGAGGAAGGGGCGAAGAAGGAGAAAAGAAAAGTAGGAGAGAAAAGTGGTGCATAGTCTATGCAGCCACTCAACTAGAAATGGTAAATGGCTGAAGCAGTGAGTGGCGCATAGATGTGGAAGGGTTAGGGATGAAGAAGGAAGAGGAAGGGGAAGAAGAAGGAAGAAGAAAGAAAAGGGAAGAAGAGGAAAGAAGAAGGAAGGGGAAGAAGAAGAAGAAGGGGAAGAAGGGGAAGAAGGGGAAGAAGAGGAAGAAGGGAAGAAGAGGAAGAAGGGGAAGAAGAGGGAAGAGGAAGAAGAGGAAGAAGGGAAGAGGGAAGAAGAGGAAGAAGAGAAGAAGGGGAAGAAGAGGAAGAAGGGGAAGAAGGAAGAAGGAGAAAGAGAGAAGAAGAGAAAGAAGGGGAAGAAGAGGAAGAAGGGGAAGAAGAGGAAGAAGTGAAGAAGATGAAGTAAGAAGAATGTGTTGTAAGTTTTTGAATGTGTTGTAAAGTGCTAAATGTGTTGTAAGGTGTTGAATTTGTGTTAAAGTGCTAAATGCGTTGTAAGGTGTTGAATTTCTGTTAAAGTGCTAAATGTGTTGTAAGGTGTTGAATTTGTTGTAAGGTGCTAAATGTGTTGTAAAGTGCTAAATGTGTTGCAAGGTGCTGTAAGTGTTGTAAGATGCTGTAATGTATTGTATCTGTGGTAATGAATTGTTAGTGTGGTAATGTGTTGTAAGGGGAGTAATCTGTTGTACTGGTCCAATGTAAGTCAATGGGAAAAAGTGCTTGAACTTTTGTTAATATCTGAAAAAGTGCTAAAGGTGGAAGTGTGAAAAGTAATAGCAATAATGAGACGGTGAAGCCGGTCGTAACGATATATAATTTGTTGAATTTGGTGAAAGCGTTGAAGAGTTGAAAAGTGCCAAAATCTGGCGGAAGTGGAAGAAGAAGAAGAAGAAGAAGAAGAAGAACTAGAAATGGTACAATGGCTGAAGCCATTGTGAGTGGCTGCATAGATGTTGGAAGAGTTAGGGATGAAGAAAGAAGAGGAAGGGGAAGAAGGAAGAAGAAAGAAAAGTGAAGAAGAGGAAAGAAGAAGAAGGAAGAGGAGGAGGAAGAAGAAGGGGAAGAAGGAGAAGAGGAAGAAGGGGAAGAAGAGGAAGAAGTGAAGAAGATGAAGTAAGAAGAATGTGTTGTAAGGGGCTGAAAGTGTTGTAAAGTGCTGAATGTGTTGTAAGGTGTTGTAAAGTGCTAAATGTGTTGTAAAGTGCTGAATGTGTTGTAAAGTGCTGAATTTGTTGTAAAGTGCTGAATGTGTTGTAAAGTGCTAAATGTGTTGTAAAGTGCTGAATGTGTATTCAAGTGCTAAATGTGTTGTAAAGTGCTAAATGTGTTGTAAGGTGTTGAATTTGTTGTAAGGTGCTAAATGTGTTGTAAGGTGTTGAATTTGTTGTAAAGTGCTAAATGTGTTGAATTTGTGTTAAAGTGCTAAATGTGTTGTAAGGTGTTGAATGTGTTGTAAAGTGCTAAATGTGTTGTAAAGTGCTGAATGTGTTGTAAGGTGTTGAATGTGTTGTAAAGTGCTAAATGTGTTGTAAGGTGTTGAATTTGTTGTAAAGTGCTAAATGTGTTGTACGGTGTTGAATTTGTTGTAAAGTGCTAAATGTGTTCTAAAGTGTTGAATTTGTTGTAAAGTGCTAAATGTGTTGAATTTGTGTTAAAGTACTAAATGTGTTGTAAGGTGTTGAATGTGTTGTAAAGTTCTAAATGTGTTGTAAGGTGTTGAATTTGTTGTAAAGTGCTAAATGTGTTGTAAGGTGTTGAATTTGTGTTAAAGTACTAAATGTGTTGTAAGGTGTTGAATGTGTTGTAAAGTGCTAAATGTGTTGTAAGGTGTTGAATTTGTTGTAAGGTGCTGAATGTGTTGTAAGGTGTTGAATTTGTTGTAAAGTGCTAAATGTGTTGTAAGGTGTTGAATTTGTTGTAAAGTGCTAAATGTGTTGTAAGGTGTTGAATTTGTTGTAAAGTGCTAAATGTGTTGTAAGGTGCTGTAAGTGTTGTAAGATGTTGTAATGTATTGTATCTGTGGTAATGAATTGTTAGTGTGGTAATGTGTTGTATGGGGAGTAATCTGTTGTACTGGTCCAATGTAAGTCTATGGGAAAAAGTGCTTGAACTTTTGTTAATATCTGAAAAAGTGCTAAAGGTGGAAGTGTGAAAAGTAATAGCAATAATGAGACGGTGAAGCCGGTCGTAACGATGTATAATTTGTTGAATTTGGTGAAAGCGTTGAAGAGTTGAAAAGTGCCAAAATCTGGCGGAAGTGGAAGAAGAAGAAGAAGAAGAAGAAGAAGAAGAAGAAGAACTAGAAATGGTACAATGGCTGAAGCCATTGTGAGTGGCTGCATAGATGTTGGAAGGGTTAGGGATGAAGAAGGAAGAGGAAGGAAGAAGAAAGAAAAGGGAAGAAGAGGAAAGACGAAGAAGGAAGAGGAGGAGGAAGAAGAAGAAGGGGAAGAAGGAGAAGAAGAGGAAGAAGGGGAAGAAGAGGAAAAGGGGAAGAAGAGGAAGAGGAAGAAGAGGAAGAAGGGGAAGAAGAGGAAAAAGGGGAAGAAGAGGAAGAAGAGCAAGAAGAGGAAAAAGGGGAAGAAGAGGAAGAAGAGGAAGAAGGGGAAGAAGAGGAAGAAAGGGAAGAAGAGGAAAAAGGGAAAGAAGAGGAAGAACAGGAAGAAGAGGAAGAAGGGGAAGAAGAGGAAGAAGAGGAAGAAGGGGAAGAAGAGGAAGAAGGAGAAGAACAGGAAGATGAGGAAGAAGAGGAAGAAGGGGAAGAAGGGAAAGAAGAGGAAGAAGGGGAAGAAGAGGAAGAAGTAAGAAGAATGTGTTGTAAGGGACTGAAAGTGTTGTAAAGTGCTAAATACGTTGTAAAGTGCTAAATGTGTTGAAAGGTGTTGAATTTGTTGTAAAGTGCTAAATGTGTTGTAAGGTGTTGAATTTGTTGTAAAGTGCTAAATGTGTTGTAAGGTATTGAATTTGTTTTAAGGTGTTGAATGTGTTGTAAAATGCTAAATGTGTTGAATTTGTTGTAAAGTGCTAAATGTGTTGTAAGGTGTTGAATGTGTTGTAAAGTGCTAAATGTGTTGTACAGTGTTGAATTTGTTGTAAGGTGCTGAATGTTTTGTAAGGTGTTGAATTTGTTGTAAAGTGCTAAATGTGTTGTAAGGTGTTGAATTTGTTGTAAAGTGCTAAATGTGTTCTAAGGTGTTGAATTTGTTGTAAAGTGCTAAATGTGTTGTAAGGTGTTGAATGTGTTGTAAGGTGCTGAATGTGTTGTAAGGTGTTGAATTTGTTGTAAAGTGCTAAATGTGTTGAATTTGTTGTAAAGTGATAAATGTGTTGTAAGGTGTTGAATTAGTTTTAAAGTGCTAAATGTGTTGTAAGGTGCCGTAAGTGTTGTAAGATGTTGTAATGTATTGTATCTGTGGTAATGAATTGTTAGTGTGGTAATGTGTTGTATGGGGAGTAATCTGTTGTACTGGTCCAATGTAAGTCTATGGGAAAAAGTGCTTGAACTTTTGTTAATATCTGAAAAAGTGCTAAAGGTGGAAGTGTGAAAAGTAATAGCAATAATGAGACGGTGAAGCCGGTCGTAACGATGTATAATTTGTTGAATTTGGTGAAAGCGTTGAAGAGTTGAAAAGTGCCAAAATCTGGCGGAAGTGGAAGAAGAAGAAGAAGAAGAAGAAGAAGAAGAAGAAGAACTAGAAATGGTACAATGGCTGAAGCCATTGTGAGTGGCTGCATAGATGTTGGAAGGGTTAGGGATGAAGAAGGAAGAGGAAGGAAGAAGAAAGAAAAGGGAAGAAGAGGAAAGACGAAGAAGGAAGAGGAGGAGGAAGAAGAAGAAGGGGAAGAAGGAGAAGAAGAGGAAGAAGGGGAAGAAGAGGAAAAGGGGAAGAAGAGGAAGAGGAAGAAGAGGAAGAAGGGGAAGAAGAGGAAAAAGGGGAAGAAGAGGAAGAAGAGCAAGAAGAGGAAAAAGGGGAAGAAGAGGAAGAAGAGGAAGAAGGGGAAGAAGAGGAAGAAAGGGAAGAAGAGGAAAAAGGGAAAGAAGAGGAAGAACAGGAAGAAGAGGAAGAAGGGGGAGAAGAGGAAGAAGAGGAAGAAGGGGAAGAAGAGGAAGAAGGAGAAGAACAGGAAGATGAGGAAGAAGAGGAAGAAGGGGAAGAAGGGAAAGAAGAGGAAGAAGGGGAAGAAGAGGAAGAAGTAAGAAGAATGTGTTGTAAGGGACTGAAAGTGTTGTAAAGTGCTAAATACGTTGTAAAGTGCTAAATGTGTTGAAAGGTGTTGAATTTGTTGTAAAGTGCTAAATGTGTTGTAAGGTGTTGAATTTGTTGTAAAGTGCTAAATGTGTTGTAAAGTGCTAAATGTGTTGTAAGGTATTGAATTTGTTTTAAGGTGTTGAATGTGTTGTAAAATGCTAAATGTGTTGAATTTGTTGTAAAGTGCTAAATGTGTTGTAAGGTGTTGAATGTGTTGTAAAGTGCTAAATGTGTTGTACAGTGTTGAATTTGTTGTAAGGTGCTGAATGTGTTGTAAGGTGTTGAATTTGTTGTAAAGTGCTAAATGTGTTGTAAGGTGTTGAATTTGTTGTAAAGTGCTAAATGTGTTCTAAGGTGTTGAATTTGTTGTAAAGTGCTAAATGTGTTGTAAGGTGTTGAATGTGTTGTAAGGTGCTGAATGTGTTGTAAGGTGTTGAATTTGTTGTAAAGTGCTAAATGTGTTGAATTTGTTGTAAAGTGATAAATGTGTTGTAAGGTGTTGAATTAGTTTTAAAGTGCTAAATGTGTTGTAAGGTGCCGTAAGTGTTGTAAGATGTTGTAATGTATTGTATCTGTGGTAATGAATTGTTAGTGTGGTAATGTGTTGTATGGGGAGTAATCTGTTGTACTGGTCCAATGTAAGTCTATGGGAAAAAGTGCTTGAACTTTTGTTAATATCTGAAAAAGTGCTAAAGGTGGAAGTGTGAAAAGTAATAGCAATAATGAGACGGTGAAGCCGGTCGTAACGATGTATAATTTGTTGAATTTGGTGAAAGCGTTGAAGAGTTGAAAAGTGCCAAAATCTGGCGGAAGTGGAAGAAGAAGAAGAAGAAGAAGAAGAAGAAGAAGAAGAAGAAGAAGAAGAAGAAGAATAAACAGTAGGAGAGCATATAGTGGCTGCATAGTCTATGCAGCCACTCAACTAGAAATGGTACAATGGCTGAAGCCATTGTGAGTGGCTGCATAGATGTTGGAAGGGTTAGGGATGAAGAAGGAAGAGGAAGGGGAAGAAGAAGGAAGAAGAAAGAAAAGGGAAGAAGAGGAAAGAAGAAGAAGGAAGAGGAGGAGGAAGAAGAAGAAGGGGAAGAAGGGGAAGAAGAAGAAGGGGAAGAAGGGGAAGAAGAGGAAGAAGGGGAAGAAGAGGAAGAAGAGGAAGAAGGGGAAGAAGAGGAAGAAGGGGAAGAAGAGGAAGAAGTGAAGAAGATGAAGTAAGAATAATGTGTTGTAAGGGGCTGAAAGTGTTGTAAAGTGCTGAATGTGTTGTAAGGTGTTGTAAAGTTCTAAATGTGTTGTAAAGTGCTGAATGTGTTGTAAAGTGCTGAATTTGTTGTAAAGTGCTGAATGTGTTGTAAAGTGCTAAATGTGTTGTAAAGTGCTGAATGTGTATTCAAGTGCTAAATGTGTTGTAAAGTGCTAAATGTGTTGTAAGGTGTTGAATTTGTTGTAAAGTGCTAAATGTGTTGTAAGGTATTGAATGTTTTGTAAAGTGCTAAATGTGTTGTAAGGTGTTGAATGTGTTGTAAAGTGCTAAATGTGTTGTAAGGTGTTGAATTTGTTGTAAAGTGCTAAATGTGTTGTAAGGTTTTGAATTAGTTGTAAAGTGCTAAATTTGTTGTAAGGTGTTGAATTTGTGTTAAAGTGCTAAATGTGTTGTAAGGTGTTGAATTTGTGTTAAAGTGCTAAATGTGTTGTAAGGTGTTGAATTTGTTGTAAAGTGCTAAATGTGTTGTAAGGTGTTGAATGTGTTGTAAAGTGCTAAATGTGTTGTAAGGTGTTGAATTTGTTGTAAAGTGCTAAATGTGTTTTAAGGTGTTGAATGTGTTGTAAAGTGCTAAATGTGTTGTAAGGTGTTGAATTTGTTGTAATGTGCTAAATGTGTTGTAAGGTGTTGAATTTGTTGTAAAGTGCTAAATGTGTTGTAAGGTGTTGAATTTGTTGTAAAGTGCTAAATGTGTTGTAAGGTGTTGAATTTGTTGTAAGGTGCTAAATATGTTGTAAGGTGTTGAATTTGTTGTAAGGTGCTAAATGTGTTGTAAGGTGCTATAAGTGTTGTAAGGTGTAGAATTTGTTGTAAAGTGCTAAATGTGTTGTAAGGTGTTGAATGTGTTATAAAGTGCTAAATGTGTTGTAAGGTGTTGAATTTGTTGTAAGGTGCTGAATGTGTTGTAAGGTGTTGAATTTGTTGTAAGGTGCTAAATGTGTTGTAAGGTGTTGAATGTGTTGTAAAGTGCTAAATGTGTTGTAAGGTGTTGAATGTGTTGTAAAGTGCTAAATGTGTTGTACAGTGTTGAATTTGTTGTAAGGTGCTGAATGTGTTGTAAGGTGTTGAATTTGTTGTAAAGTGCTAAATGTGTTGTAAGGTGTTGAATTTGTTGTAAAGTGCTAAATGTGTTCTAAGGTGTTGAATTTGTTGTAAAGTGCTAAATGTGTTGTAAGGTGTTGAATGTGTTGTAAGGTGCTGAATGTGTTGTAAGGTGTTGAATTTGTTGTAAAGTGCTAAATGTGTTGAATTTGTTGTAAAGTGATAAATGTGTTGTAAGGTGTTGAATTAGTTTTAAAGTGCTAAATGTGTTGTAAGGTGCCGTAAGTGTTGTAAGATGTTGTAATGTATTGTATCTGTGGTAATGAATTGTTAGTGTGGTAATGTGTTGTATGGGGAGTAATCTGTTGTACTGGTCCAATGTAAGTCTATGGGAAAAAGTGCTTGAACTTTTGTTAATATCTGAAAAAGTGCTAAAGGTGGAAGTGTGAAAAGTAATAGCAATAATGAGACGGTGAAGCCGGTCGTAACGATGTATAATTTGTTGAATTTGGTGAAAGCGTTGAAGAGTTGAAAAGTGCCAAAATCTGGCGGAAGTGGAAGAAGAAGAAAGAAGAAGAAGAATAGAAATGGGTACAATGGCTGAAGCCATTGTGAGTGGCTGCATAGATGTTGGAAGGGTTAGGGATGAAGAAGGAAGAGGAAGGGGAAGAAGAAGGAAGAAGAAAGAAAAGGGAAGAAGAGGAAAGAAGAAGAAGGAAGAGGAGGAGGAAGAAGAAGAAGGGGAAGAAGGGGAAGAGGAAGAAGGGGAAGAAGGGGAAGAAGAGGAAGAAGGGGAAGAAGAGGAAGAAGAGGAAGAAGGGGAAGAAGAGGAAGAAGGGGAAGAAGAGGAAGAAGAAGATGAAGTAAGGGGCTGAATGTGTTGTAAAGTGCTGAATGTGTTGTAAGGTGTTGTAAAGTGCTAAATGTGTTGTAAAGTGCTGAATGTGTTGTAAAGTGCTGAATGTGTTGTAAAGTGCTGAATGTGTTGTAAAGTGCTAAATGTGTTGTAAAGTGCTGAATGTGTATTAAAGTGCTAAATGTGTTGTAAAGTGCTAAATTTGTTGTAAAGTGTTAAATTTGTTGTAAAGTGCTAAATGTGTTGTAAGGTATTGAATGTTTGGTAAAGTGCTAAATGTGTTGTAAGGTGTTGAATGTGTTGTAAAGTGCTAAATGTGTTGTAAGGTGTTGAATTTGTTGTAAAGTGCTAAATGTGTTGTAAGGTTTTGAATTTGTTGTAAAGTGCTAAATGTGTTGTAAGGTGTTGAATTTGTTGTAAAGTGCTAAATGTGTTGTAAGGTGTTGAATTTGTGTTAAAGTGCTAAATGTGTTGTAAGGTGTTGAATTTGTTGTAAAGTGCTAAATGTGTTGTAAGGTGTTGAATGTGTTGTAAAGTGCTAAATGTGTTGTAAGGTGTTGAATTTGTTGTAAAGTGCTAAATGTGTTTTAAGTTGTTGAATGTGTTGTAAAGTGCTAAATGTGTTGTAAGGTGTTGAATTTGTTGTAAAGTGCTAAATGTGTTGTAAGGTGTTGAATTTGTTGTAAAGTGCTAAATGTGTTGTAAGGTGTTGAATTTGTTGTAAAGTGCTAAATGTGTTGTAAGGTGTTGAATTTGTTGTAAGGTGTTGTAATATGTTGTAAGGTGTTGAATTTGTTGTAAGGTGCTAAATGTGTTGTAAGGTGCTATAAGTGTTGTAAGGTGTTGAATTTGTTGTAAAGTGCTAAATGTGTTGTAAGGTGTTGAATGTGTTATAAAGTGCTAAATGTGTTGTAAGGTGTTGAATTTGTTGTAAAGTGCTGAATGTGTTGTAAGGTGTTGAATTTGTTGTAAAGTGCTAAATGTGTTGTAAGGTGTTGAATTTGTGTAAAGTGCTAAATGTGTTGTAAGGTGTTGAATTTGTTGTAAAGTGCTAAATGTGTTGTAAGTGCTGTAAGGTGTAAGAAGTAAGAAGAATGTGTTGTAAGGGGCTGAAAGTGTTGTAAAGTGCTAAATGTGTTGTAAGGTGTTGTAAAGTGCTAAATGTGTTGTAAAGTGCTGGAATGTGTTGTAAAGTTCTAAATGTGTTGTAAAGTGCTAAATGTGTTGTAAGGTATTGAATGTTTTGTAAAGTGCTAAATGTGTTGTAAGGTGTTGAATGTGTTGTAAAGTGCTAAATGTGTTGTAAGGTGTTGAATTTGTTGTAAAGTGCTAAATGTCTTGTAAGGTGTTGCATTTGTTGTAAAGTGCTAAATGTGTTGTAAGGTGTTGAATTTGTGTTAAAGTGCTAAATGTGTTGTAAGGTGTTGAATTTGTTGTAAGGTGTTGAATTTGTTGTAAAGTGCTAAATGTGTTGTAAGGTGTTGAATGTGTTGTAAAGTGCTAAATGTGTTGTAAAGTGCTAAATGTGTTGTAAGATGCTGAATGTGTTGTAAGGTGCTAAATGTGTTGTAAGGTGTTGAATTTGTTGTAAGGTGTTGAATTTGTTGTAAAGTGCTAAATGTGTTGTAAGGTGTTGAATGTGTTGTAAAGTGCTAAATGTGTTGTAAGGTGTTGAATTTGTTGTAAAGTGCTAAATGTGTTGTAATGTGTTGAATTTGTTGTAAAGTGCTAAATGTGTTGTAAGGTGTTGAATGTGTTGTAAAGTGCTAAATGTGTTGTAAGGTGTTGAATTTGTTGTAAGGTGCTAAATGTGTTGTAAGTTGTTGAATGTGTTGTAAAGTGCTAAATGTGTTGAATTTGTGTTAAAGTGCTAAATGTGTTGTAAGGTGTTGAATGTGTTGTAAAGTGCTAAATGTTTTGTAAGGTGTTGAATTTGTTGTAACGTGTTAAATGTGTTGTAAGGTGTTGAATGTGTTGTAAAGTGCTAAATGTGTTGTAAGGTGTTGAATTTGTTGTAAGGTGCTGAATGTGTTGTAAGGTGTTGAATTTGTTGTAAGGTCCTAAATGTGTTGTAAGGTGTTGAATGTGTTGTAAAGTGCTAAATGTGTTGTAAGGTGTTGAATTTGTTGTAAAGTGCTAAATGTGTTGTAAGGTGCTGTAAGTGTTGTAAGATGTTGTAATGTATTGTATCTGTGGTAATGAATTGTTAGTGTGGTAATGTGTTGTAAGGGGAGTAATCTGTTGTACTGGTCCAATGTAAGTCAATGGGAAAAAGTGCTTGAACTTTTGTTAATATCTGAAAAAGTGCTAAAGGTGGAAGTGTGAAAAGTAATAGCAATAATGAGACGGTGAAGCCGGTCGTAACGATGTATAATTTGTTGAATTTGGTGAAAGCGTTGAAGAGTTGAAAAGTGACAAAATCTGGCGGAAGTGGAAGAAGAAGAAGAAGAAGAAGAATAAGAAGAAGAAGAATAAACAGTAGGAGAGCATATAGTGGCTGCATAGTCTATGCAGCCACTCAATAAACAGTAGGAGAGCATATAGTGGCTGCATAGTCTATGCAGCCACTCAATAAACAGTAGGATAGCATATAGTGGCTGCATAGTCTATGCAGCCACTCAATAATCTCTTTCCAAAAATATTGTTTAGTGTAGTAGTGTAGTTCAAGGAGCTATACCCGTTTCTGAAAGGTTTGAATGTTTAGCACCGCCCCCCAACTTGCTCACAGGCTTCTCTTTTCCCCTACGCTCTCATTCCACGGAGCCATCTAGTTTTATTTGCGATCTTTATGCAAACATTAGCATGAATGTAGTCCGGGCATAAATTGTCCGAGGCGGTCCGCAGGTCTCTCTCATAGACAAGTCTCTCCAGAGGATACAATGTAAGCTAGCTATGTTCACCAGGCTTGATTTCTTCTTTGATCATTTATTCGCTTTAGTTCCCTCTTCTCTTCCTCACTGTTGTGTCGTTTGGGCTGTTTTGTTGGGTATGCAGTTACAGCAAGAGGAGTTATAGCCAATTCTGCTAACATGCTACTGTGTTTAGCAGCGCTGTAGAGGCTAGAAGACGCAGCCTCGTTCTTTGATTGGAGGAGAGCGGGCGTCATGCTAAGTCTCTACTCAGCACTTTTTATGGCCTGAATTCCTTCACAAGCTGAATCAATGAGCTCAAGTTTTCAATTAAATTACGGACAATAATACAACTTGTATGTAGTAATAAGCATTTTTATGAACTAATTAAAAAGAAAAATTGGGTATGGCATCTTTAAAACATGTTAACACCCACCCGCCCGCAAGCGATTTTTATTTTTAAAATGTTTTGCTGGCAATAGCAGATGTATTTTGAACTATTAACCCCACAAACTATATTCTAAAGCTTATTTTCTTATCTATATATATATATATACAAATGTGCACTCTATCAGACTTTGCATTCAAAAGATATAACACATAATATGCGCTAAAATAAATAACTTCTGAACAAGTTTTTTACCTTTGGTCTTGTGCTGCATAAATAAATTACATCTCCTCCCAGTTTCCTATAGCTCTTTCACTCCGTAAATGTCCATGGAAAAAGAATATTCACTTGTATTTTCCAAAGTATAACCCATTCTGGAGAAATAATCCAAAAACGTGCGTTTATTTTTTGCGAAAAAAACGTCTGAAAGAACACAGAAGCTGCTCTTTACAGTCCGCAGAGTTTAGCTTTTGTTTTTCACCCAAACACAGGGTATGTTCATGTTCCCCAACTCGTTAGCTACAAAATAAGATCTTTCCTGAAGTGATACGTGCCGGAGTTAGTCTGCAACACCCCCGTGAATAAAACAAGCGGCCACCTTTCGTGCATGGTCCTTCTGTATTCTTGACTTTCAGTCACGTGACCAAAACTGATTACGTTATCGGCGTCCGCCATGTTGGTGGTATACTGATTTGACAAATCAATGGAAGTATACAACTTTTTTGTGTCAGGCTGGGTGAACAAGTTTGTGTTGATAAGTCAGTTGTTTTTGCTTGGGTGAGTAATAAAGATAATGTATCAGTAATTTTTTATTTTAGCTTTGTAGTTTAATGTTCATGACGACACGCGTGTCGCGTCTTTTATATATTGTATCTACAAATGCCGTTTGCTGATTGTCGTTTTATTCTTTTAAATCAACCAGTCCCAGAGAGCGCGAGACACATCATTGAAAACTTGTTTTGTGGCCAAGAATGACGGAAATGTTATGTTCGCGCACTGCAACTGCACGGCTGGCCTTAATGAAGCTTGTTCCCCGGTAGGAGCACTGCTGTTCCCAGTGGAAGCCGCGGTGCGGAGGGTTCAGTTTAGCCTGGCCTTAGCCATCCGTACATTCCGCTCAATTATCATTTCCCTGCATGTAACATCTGGGTATGGTCCCTGTGTTAGCGATTACAATCAGCTGAATTCCAACCGACCATCAGTGAGCACGGGAGGCGGGTGTTGTAGTTAGTTGTGGGTGACGTTAAGAGTTTGCGTCGAACAGGCAGGTTGTAGTTTGGTAATGGCGAAAAATGCGATAGTAAAATAATCCGGTCTGATTCTATCAAGAAATTGAAGCCGGAGCAAGAGGAATGTTTAGCAAATGTAATTGCTGGCAAAGATAGTGGCACTACTCCCCACGGGCTCCGTTAGCGGCAAAGGAGATGGTTAGGCTAAATGCTAAATGCTAACGACTCACTCGGGCGCATTACATACGTGACAAAAACTCAGATCCAATCGTTTCAATCTGCAAAAGGAGTTAACCCCTCCCACCTTTTAACGGAGCTCAATGAAGCTCCTCCAGACCGTAGTACGAAATGTAATTTGTACTATGGTGTGGTACGAACAGGCTAGGTTCAGTTACCTGCACCCAGGAGAAGAGCAAGTGGGTCATGCCAACCTGTGTCAAACAAGTGCCCTTTATTCCAATTTGTGAGATGGATTTCAAATCTGCAGAAACGAAACATAAACAATTTGTAGTAAACCAAACAAGTCCGGGAAACGACAAAAACTA